TAAATGTATATGAGATTATTATCATTTCTTTTTAGAGAAGATTCAACTTGGGTCTAAGTAGTCAGATCTTCTTTTGACTTTAAAATAAGATTTGCTTGCTCATTATTCACTTTAGCCAAAATACAGAATCATCCATCAATAAAAGAATGAATAAAGAAAATGTGGTATATTTAGAATGGAATACTATTCAGACTTTAAAAAGAAGAAAATCCTGTTATTTGTGACAACATGGATGAACTTTAAAAAGATATTTTGCTAAGTGAAATCGGCCAGGTATAGAAAGAAAAATATTGGATGATCTTACTTATATGTGGAATTTTAAAAAGTTGAACTCAGAAGCAGAGAGTAGAATGGTAGCTGCCAGCAGCTGGAGTGAGAGAAGGTGGGGAAATGGAAGAGATATTGGTTAAAGGATACAGTTTCAGAATGAATAAGTTCAGGAAATCTAATGTACAGCATGGTGACCATAGTTAATGTATACTATACTTGAAAATTTCTAAGATATTAGATATTAAATTTTCTCACCACACAAAAAATATATTTGAGGTGATCAATATGTTAATTAATTTGATTTAACCTTTTCACAGTGTGTACATATATTGAAACATCATGTTGTACATTATAAATATATACAATTTTTATTTGTCGATTATAACTCAATTTAATAAAGTTGGGAAAAATATTTAAACCAGTAAAGAAAAAAGACTTACCAAAATTCAGATTGGATTAAAAAATGAGGTATCATCTCATCCCAGTTAGACCAAGTAATATCAAAATGACAGAGGATAACAGATGCTGGCAAGAATGCAGAGAAAGAGGAATCCTTCTACACTGTTGACGGAACTAACACATACGTTATGGAAAACAGTATGGAGGTTTCTCAACTACCGACAGAGCTACCATACGATTCAGCAATCCCACTGCTGGTATATACCCAAAGGAATGGAAATCATCATGTTGAAGGGATACCTGCACTCCCATGTTTATTGCAGCTCTATTTACAATAGCTAAGACATAGAACCAACCTAAATGTCCACTGACAGATGACTGGATAAGGAAAATGTGGTATTTATACTCAATAGAATGCTTCTCAGCCATAAAAAAGAATGAAATTCTGCCATTTACAGAAGCATGGATGACCTTGGAGAAAAGTGAAATAAACAATATACAGAAAGAGAAATACTGCATGACTTCACTCATAAGCGGGAACTGAAAGAAAGAAGGGAAGAAAAAGAAAGGAAGGAAGGAAGTATGGAAGGAAGGAAGGAAGGAAAAGAAAGAAAGAAAGAAAGATAGAAAGAAAGAAAGAACAAGAAAAAGAAAGAAAGAGAAAGAAAGAAAGAAAGAAAGAAAGAAAGAAAGAAAGAAAGAAAGAAAGAAAGAAAGAAAGAAAGAAAGAAAAGAAACAATCACAATAATACATTGAACTTTCAAAAGGAGAGAACAGAACTGTGGTTACTAGAGGTGGGAAAGGGGAAAGTGGAAGGGGGTTAGTAAGAAATTTGTTAAGGGTCACAAAGAATGATTACAGTTTGTAATGATGAATATACTAATTACCTTGATTTGTTCATCACATATTGTATACAGGTATCGATGTTCAAGTCTGTACCTCACAAATATATATAATCAGTTATGTTTCAATAAAAACAATCTTCTGTGAAAAGTGAGGTTCTTAAATTTAGGAAGATAGAATTTAGTAATATCCTGAAAGTATCAGCTGGAATAATCTGTACAACTTGGGGATAATTTCTATAAAGATACTTATAGTAATTTAACCATGGTGTACACAGATGCTGGAGGACTTTGTACAGTTGCCATTGAATACCAATGGGAGCTCTTTCATACTGGCATGCAACCAGGTTTCCAAGGGCAACTTATGCCAAATAGGAAGGTGATTGGATTATAAAGATTCTAGAAGAGAAAAATTGCAAGTCAGAGGAAGAGGTTAATTTTTTGAAATGTAATGTCACTTTCCAGTTTTAAGAAAAATGTTTGTGATCTCATTTTGGAAACAACTTTTTTTACATGAACTTTCCACATACTTTATCAGCTATATTATCTTCGCCAAATAATGACTTCCTTTTGCCTGTTTTTCTTTATATCTGAGCTGGATAACAGTAAGGGAGTTGCTTAGAAAATTATATAAGGTAGCTCATGTAAATCCCTTAGCACAGTGCCTGGTATATAGGAAGTGCTCAGTAAAGTTAAGCCACTATTATTACTATTGTTATCACGATGTCCTTATGAAAATCATTTTTGACACTAAATTCCTTCCTTCTATAATTTCATAATATTGTGCCCTTCACTGAAATATGAAGAACTAAGAACTTACAAGTTTTGGAAAGATAATTTACTAATTTATCTCTGGTTCACAAACAACTTATCACAGAAATCTTAAAAAATATATAGATTTCCCATGGCATACAAAAATGTTTTTATTTATTAAAATATATTACTGTCATTCAACTCTTTTGGAACACATTTACCATTATAAAATGAGAATTTTTCAAAATGCATAATTTTCTGGTGAAATATTTTTTCATTAAAGTTTTATGTAATGACAGACATTTATTTGGGGCAGTGAAAAAATCAACCCTAATCCTCATAATAAACCTACAACTGTCTCTGTTTTACAGATGGGGAAACTGATGCGCCAAGAGACTGAAGAAATCACTTGCTCAAGATTTCACAGATAATATAAGAGGCAGAACAGGGATTTGAAGCCAGACAGAGGCTGTTCTTTGATTCTCCTTTCTTATGGGCAGACTTTTTCCAGATTTTCATAGTGTAGTTAAAGAAAAAAAAAAAAAAAGAAAAGGACAGCACTTACCTGACTAACATTGTCATTTCTGGAAAAGAAATGGGGACTCTGAACAAGACGGCTCTCTGCTGTTGACTTATTCTGGGATATAATATTATTATCTCAATTGTGGTTTCACCCAAACCACAAAACCTAATGATCTTATGCATCTAATTGTGTAACTCACGTGATCCATCAGAAGATAGTAGCCGGCAGCAATTCTGGCACACAAAGAGGAGTAGGTCACCTTGCCCAGTTTGACTAACAGCTTTCGGAGGGTGATCAAGGCCCGAATTACAACAGTGTTGTCTTTGGAAAGGAAAGCATCCAGGATGGATCTTAATAAGCTGCAGACATTTTTTATCTACATACAAAAGGAGGAAAATTGTGAGATTTTAGAAATAAAGGGAGACTAGAGGTGGCATTTGGTATGCCCAGCTCTGAGTGTGGGCAGAACACCGTGGTGTGCTTGAGCTGGCTCACAAGATTCAATTGTCAAATTGTCAAATATTTTGTAAGCTGATTGTTTAAAAAGCCATTATTAAAAATTAAAATTATATACATTTAGAATTAAATATGAACAATGATAATAAATACTAAAAAATGATAACTTCCTAATTCTTTTGCTATTTTACTATTATCTATGCTCTTGAAGTTATTTACATGAATCATATCTGGATGGTGAGAATATTTTTTTTTTAAAGTGCCACATTTTTATTTTAATTACCTCTTTATAATGCTAGGATTTTTGCCACGTGGGATTCATATATTTTCAATCACACAGAACTCAATATTTTAAATCATTACATGCTCTTTACACCTTCCTGCAGTTTACATGCTACCCTATCTATATTTATTTATTTTTATTGAAACATATTGATTGTACATATCAATGAGATATAGAGTATATTTCAATCCATGAAATATGATGTGTGATGACTGTGATGAATGATTCATCAATGTGTGATGAATCTAATCAAGGTAATTAGCATATTTATCACCATAAAACAATCATTTCTGTGTCATGTGAACATTTGATCTCCTCTCTTCTAGTCATCTGATAACATGAAGTAAATCATTGTTAATTATAGATTCCTAGGTTGACTGTACACCGACAGGGCTTGTTTCTTGTATCTAGCTGTAATTTTGTGTCCATTATCCAGCCTCTCATTATCCTCCCCCTCCCCAATCTCGACTCTTGAACCACAGTTCTTGGTGAGAATATTAAATGATTATGTGCTATTGTGCATCTCTTCCCAACTCCATGCTTAGTGACATCCATTTGACAGCTTGAAATTAGCTGCAGTTGGAATATTTAAACTAGGGAAATTGGCCTTATTTCCAGACAACAGGTTGTTAACCATTTACCAACACACCACTGGCAGTGACTTGATTGGACATGACAGCTGCTGAGGCAGGCCATGGCTGTCAAGTACAGATCAGAGCCAAACAGAATAGAAGGCAAGGAAAAACATTAAATGCAGGAGGAGAGAAGCAAAGGAAATGAGTAAACATTACTTGCCAAAACAATTTAAGAAGAGAAAAAATAGAGTTAAGGACTTTATCAGTGCCAGAGGCCACTTGTGTCTGGTTGGAAAGTTGTGTGTGGTTGGAGTCTTTGTAGATAGTATGTGAACCCTTACATCACTCTCCACTACTTTTCTTTCACTCTCCTAGCTAGCCTTGACACAGAATCTCCCTGTCAGTTGTTAATAACATTGTGAAGAGTGCCGGACAAAGCAAAACACAACTTGCTGCTTACTAAAAGAATGCATATGGTTAATAAATCCATCATTTTGTGTGACTTATTTAAAAGAAAAAGACCATGGCTCATATTATTCTAAATGCAAAATGGGTGTCCACTTAACAGGCTCTAAGCTTTCAGAGACTATGCTCAATAAATAACAAGGATTTATTATAGATTTATTATTAAATCAACAATGATTTATGGAACATCTACACTCTCAGTACTTTGCAAGATACTTTGGTGTTTAGCACTACAAAACATAGGGGCATGCTTAGATTTAATTGGTCTGGAAGACAAGAAATATTCACATCAGTCACTGGGAAACAATATAAGATGGTGGTTCTCAACTTTAACCTGATTTAGAGTCACCTGGAGGACTTCTGAAAACATAGATTGGTGGGCCCTACCTCCAGAATTTCTGGGACTCAGTAGACCTGGGGTGAGGCCTGACAATTTACATTTTTAACAAGTTTTCAGGTGATGCTGATGTGGCTGGTTCAAGAACCATACTTTAAGGACCACTGATATAAAATCTTATATAAGTAGGTGCTCATAATTAATATGGCTCTGAGAGGGATGGGCCTGCTGGAGATCAGAATGTTATTCAGTGAAGTTTGATTTGAGCTGATCACTGAAAAAGGAGAAAAATGTGAATATGTATGGGTAAAGAAGTGGAAGAAAAAGCTTGAGTGAGCACTCTGAGACAGTAATATACACGCATGTGTGTATGTTTGATGGGCAAATTAACGTGTGCATTATACGGTTTAGATTGTAAAAAGAACATTCATGTAAGGCAATGGTGATAAATAAATTCTGAGTGCAATGAATGATTTTCTGGAAAAAATATAAATAAGGTGATAAAGCCCTAAATTGACAACACACCCTTTCCGTTTAACTCAGTTTCCTTATTGATAAAAAAAAATCAGGCTTTGATTTCGATTTAGCCCCATAGAAACTGAAAAAAATCAATGTTTTATCAGTAAAGATAATAAGCAATATCAAAATCTCAGACTATGACTTTGGTGGTGCTGGCAGACACAACTCACACACACATACCTCATTGACAACTGGGGCCATGCTGGCAATTTTCTGAAGGCTCAGTTTGCTAACTGTAGGATTGGAATCATTGACCCAGTTTCTGAAGAGGATCAAAAACTCTTCTGGGAATGGGTCCTTGAAGAAGTTATTCAGAAGCTGGAAAAAAATAGCCAATAAGCTCATAAACAGACTAGGGGCCAAATTGCAAAATTTCTACCTGTCATACAAGTTTAGTAAAACTGGAACACAAATCACAGTGTAACTCCAAATACTTACATGTATTCCTACATATATTTCTGTGATCACAGAAGGGGGAAGAGACAGCAATCAGAAGAGGAAATAGATGCTTTGCTTTGTTTTTGTTTTGTGATATAGAAGTACATGTGTGTGTGTATGTATGTGTCTGTGAGATAGAGTGTATTTTTTTTCTTTTATAATTTCCTTCCATTGTTGGAAACTGAGTGATCCAATTTAAATTACCCTATCTTCCAGACTGTAGAGCCAGGTGGGTGAGTTTCTCAAAAGAATATACTTATATATGCTAAGAGATGATGCCTACTACGGGCTAGGCACTATGCTAATAAATGGGGATACAGTGATGTACAAAACAGTCTCAATCCATTACCTTGTGGAGTTTATAGATTAGCTGCAGAGACTGATACTATACAATGATACTATAATATATACTGTTCTAATGAAAACAGAATTGCTAACTATGGTCAGTAGTAGGAAGGAAAGCTACAATATGCTACAAGAACATTTCAGGAGTTCTGAATTTAGATTGTGTAGTGTAGATTGAAATTAGAATAAGAATAGTATTTAGATTTAATCTTGAAAGCAGAGTTGGCATTAGCTAGATAAAGTGTTTGGAGAAGACACCTCCCAGAAGAGTGACCCATGTGCAGAGGCTCGGAGGTAGATGAAGCAGGGTGGGCTTGAGCACCTGAAAGGTGAGTGATAGCAGTGGAGAGGGAAAAGAAGACTGGAGAGTGTGAGGTTAGAGGGCAGACAGTGGAGGTGGCACATGACCTGGAGGCCAGATTAAGGAGGTTTAGTCTTTAGTAGCTAATACCTAAAATGAAGACGTGATTATCATGAGTCTTCAGGCACTAAATAACTGACAGCCAAATAAGTGTGTTTAAAAAGTCTCTTAGAAACACAATGACAGTTTTATAAAAACCCAATTTTGACAGAAGAGTTTAAAATATCACTAAGACAGATGAAGTACAGAACAAGAAAGAGAAGAAGAGGGTGATAGAGTGGGGGCAAGTGCTGGAGTGAAAGTGAGAGGGGTGGGGGAAGAGAGAGAGAGAGAGAGGGAGGGAGGGAGGGAGGGAGAGGAGGGAGAGGATGGAATGAGGGAGAGAACGGAAGGAGGTTTCAGTAATGGGCCACAGTAATCAACCCCATTGTATATTGACAAAATAAAATAAAAAATAAAATAAAACTTGGTGGACACACACACACACACACACACACACACAAAACAAACAGAAAACAAAAAAACCATTAATGAGTTCCCTAAAGCAAAACAATTAAAAAACACTTTTTTTTTTTTTACCCTGGTAAAATAAAGGATGAAACCAAGAAGAAAGTTTAAATGGAAAAAAAAGAAAGCCTATAAGCACTTGGAAATTTAAGAGAACCCTACTGCAGTTTGTGGGTCAAAAGCTTAAACAGAGGAAATCAAATGTGCAATAAGGATTACTAAAAAACAATTAAAAAATATAGTAACATAGATATTTACACTGTAGTTGGAAGTAAATGCATAACTTGACTTTAAATAGTTAAAAAATGTTACAATAAACAAATTTTTATTTACTGAAATTAAGAAAGAAAATATCACAAAATATAAAATAGCACTATGCTAAAGAAAATTAGTGTAAGAAAATACAGATAAAAGAAAAATCATTGAACTGGGAAACAGAAAAACAATAGAATTAATAAATCTAATGCCTTGTGCTTGGGGAAAGAAGATATTAAAATAAACAGACTTTTAACCAAAGTAATATAAAAAAGGACAACTAAAATGAGCAGTGGGAAAAAAGTGTTGAACAGATTAAAAATTTAAGGAGAATAGCTTTTAGGTTTTGGGTTTTTTTTTTTTTTTTCGTGGCTGGCTTGTATGGATATCTGAACACTTGATTTTGGTATTATAATGCCATACTCTTAACCAACTGAGCTAACTTACCAGCTGTTTAACAAATTTTTAAGTTTTTAACAAATCAATTTTTAACCATATGTAGTTTGTAGAATATTGTAATGATAGTTTTAATATCAGGCCATCTGTGAATATTATATATCATTAATAAGTTACATAAGAAAAACATTATATTATTAAGTTAAAAGATATTGAAATTCAATATTTCAATTACAACTATGAATAGAATAATAGCTAACTAATAACAATCTATTTCCAGTAAAAGTCAACCATCTTAATGGTGAAACAGAAGAAGCATTTCTATTAAAATCCATAATCATAATGCAAAAAGAATGGAGTACTAACACCACTATTATTTAAAATTGTATAGCAAGACAGCAAAATAGGAGATTCCCCACTCATACTCACTCATAGCAACAATAATTTTGTGCCCATCCACAGACAAAAGTGACTTGGTGGGTGCTCTACGGGATTTAGTAAAAGGTTGCAAAAAACCCAGTGGAGCCCAAGACTGAGAAGAGTCATTTTGAGAGGGCAGACCTATGCTCAGGTTGCAGGATTGCTGACTATGATCCTAGCTCCAGACCCAGAAATGACCTCATCTCCCCATGGACTTGGCTACAGCACTGTTTGGCCTTGGTCCTGCCACCAGAATCATCTGCCAAGGAAAGCAGGAAGAGTCATGCTCACTTATGCATCTAGTGACAGGCCTGCTGACCTTGGTCCCTGGCTATGAACCCTGAAACAACCATGTAACTCATCTCCAACATTTTTGGCCATAGCCAGAGATCAGTTCTGCCTGCCCAGTGAACTGCTGGTAGACATGCCTATCTGTGACACTGCAGGCAGGCCTGCTAACTTTGGTTCCATAGCACATCTTTTAATACAGCCCTGTAACTTAGCTCCAGTCCCATGCAGCTGCAGTTTAGGAGCAATCCTGCCTGCCTGGGAACCTGCTGGGAGATATGCTTATGTGTGCACTTGGAGGCAGGCCTCCAGAGTACAGTCTTCACTATGGACACTGAAGCAACCCTGTGACTCACTTCCAGTCTTGCCAACCACCGTTTGGGGCCAGTTATGCCCAGGGACCCACCCAGTGACACACAGGACCACAAACCCAGAGAGAACCACACTCATTTGTACATTTAGTAACAGATCTGTTGTCTGTGGAAGATGAAGTGAACCCTCATCCCAGTGCCAACTCTACTGACCAAAGTCTTAGAGGTGATCCAGTCTCCCAGGGACCAGACAGATTCACACCTGCTTGAGCCCTTGGTAGCAGGCCTGCCAACTGTAGGTGCCAGCAGCATCTACATAACTCAATTCCAACTCCACTCAACCACAATGCCAAAGGCAATCTCATCATCCCAGGAAATCAAGAGGAGAAAGTCTTTATCTGCTGAAACCAGTCTGTAAATACTGGAAGAGGTGTCTGCTCTTTCACATGCACAGAATACAAGACTGCATGGATAATTAAAAATTAGGCAAACATGATGCCACTAAAGGAAATGAATAAGGATCCAGTATCTGACCACAAAAAATGGAGATCTACAAACTGCCTGACAAAGAATTCAAAATAATCATCTTAAACAAATTTTGACGAGATGCAAAAGTACACCGATAGAAAACTAAATAAATTAGAAAAAAAGCATGAAAAGAATAAAAAGTCTAATAAATAGAAACCATAAAAAGTAGCAAAACAGAAATTCTGAAGCTGAAAACTACAATGAAAAAAGTAAAAAATTCAATTGAGAGTTTCAACATTAGACTTGATCATGTAAAAGAAAGGATTAACAAAGTCAAAGACAGGTCATTTGAAATTAGCCAAAGAAGAAAAAATAAATATTAATAATAAAAGAGAGTGAAAAAATCATAAGAGATTTATGAAAAAGAAAGAAACATTTTATTAAGGAAATTCTGGCTGACAACTTTCCAAATCTTGGGAGGAATATAGACATCCAGATTTATGAAACCCAATAATCTAGGCAAGATCAACACAAAAAAGAATTATCTGAGGCTCATTATAATTTCATTGTTAAAAGTCAAAAACAAAGAGAATGTCTTGAAAGTAGCAAGAGAAAAGAGACTTGTCACATACAAGAGAGCTTCCATAAGGTTATCAGCAGATGTCTCAACAGAAACCTTGTAAGCCAAGAGGGAATGGGATGATATATTCAAAATGAAGAAAGAAAGAAAACATTACCAATTAAGAACACTATACCTGGAAAAGACATTCTTCAGAAATGAGAAGAGATAAAGACATTCCCAGACAAACAAAAGCTGAGAAGTTTTATCATTATGAGAACTACCTTATGAGAAATGCTGAAGGGAGTTCTTTGAGCTGAAACAAAAGGATACTGAATAACAACATTAAAACATATAAATTACAAAACTCACTGGTTAATATACAAGTATACTTCAAAAGTTCATGGAAAGATTTGTATTATCTTGCAATGCTATTTTCCATGAACTTTTTGAAGTACCCTTGTATAGTCAGATTCAGAATATTCTATTATGGACCAGTAGTGTGTAAATTACATTGAACTCTAGTATAAAAGTTAAAAGGCAAAGTATTAAAAATAACTATAGCTACAATAATTTGTTGGATACACAATATAAAAAGGTGTAAAGTGTGACATCAATAGCTAGCATAAAATGTAAGCAGGGGAAGAGGAAAGTGTAGAGTTTTATACTTTGAAGGTAAGTCAAGGTGTTATAAGCTTAAAATCAATTTATATCTATAAGATGTTTTGTGCAAGCCCCATGGTAAACACAAAGAAAAAACTTGTAGTAGATACAGAAAATATAAAAAGAAAGGAATCAAAGTACATGTTTTAGTCCGTTTTGTGTTGCTATAACAGAATTACCTGAGACTAGGTAATTTGTAAAGGAAAGAGGTTTATTTGGCTTACAATTCTGGGACAGCTCCATGTGGCATGGGCCTCAGGCTGCTTCAACTCATGGCAGACAAAACAGCAGGCAGCCGGCAGGTACA